TCTCTGGATTTTCCGAGGGGGGCGACACATCTAAATCTCAATTCTAGATGCTCAAAAAATCTCACACTAGCGAATAAATCTTCGAAAAATCTTCTTACATTTTTCGCATCTACTTGCATCGCGCATCATCTTTTTGCAGGAAATCTTCAAAATCGTGATAAATCTTCTTTCTATCTACTCAGCGTACGCGCAGCTAGTCACAGCAAAACACAATATTTCCTGCATCGTAGATAGAGTCGTCCCCCTCGGGATTTTCGTCAATTTTCCTAATTTAAGGGCAGATTTTTGAGGTTGTCCACAGGAACATGCGGCAAATTTACTCATCCTGCACTTTTTTCGATATTGAGTACACTGTACTCAAATTTGCGTTGATCTCATTGGCCGTGTACAGTTTTTTTCGCAGTGGTAAAAGCACTCACGAAGTGACCGACCGAGCGGCTCGAAAACTTTGGTGACTAACATGCTATTGCAGGTTCTATCTCTTTCACTCTACTCTACACACTTAATCTAGCTCGGTAAAATCTTCAACAGCCGATTACCTCGGCATTTACTTTTGCTGATATATCTGCAAAATATCTGTTTGTTAGCTGATATCTCAGCAAAATGATATTTGTTAGCTGAGTATCGGCAATTGTTTTACTGATTCTCAGCAAAATAAATTGCAGAACTACTCGGCTGTTGGAATCTCGGCGAAAAAAATTGAGTGTGTAAACTGAAATGCATAAAAAATTGACAAAATGATATACTCTTTGCACACTTTCAAAGATCATATTGCACACAAAATCAACTATGATCAAATCAAAACAAAAATATTAGCCCATCTAGTGGCTGATGGCACAAGCATCTAAGAAAATTCTATTACAGCGAACCACATTATTTTAATTGATTTCTTCGCCAGTTAGTCGTCTGTCACTTCGTTGGTGGTTTAGTTCTAACGTTATGTACATCCGAAAACATCCAAAAACGTTTGGTTCTAACATCAGAAAACTTCTACATTAAAAAACATCAGAAAACATTTACATAAAAAAACCTTTAAACAACGTTTAGTTCTAACGTTATGTATATCCGAAAACATCAAAAAACGTTTGGTTCTAACATCGGGAAACATCTACATTAGAAAACATCAGAAAACATTAACATATAAAAACATTCGAGCAACGTTTAGTTCTAACGTTTTGTACATCCGAAAACATCCTTAAAACGTTTGGTTCTAATATCAATAGATTGAAAATTTTGACGTTAGAATGGCAAAATTATGTTTTTTTTTTTTTATCTAGTTCGTTTATTTGGAAGGCTCAATCGCGTTAGCTTTACGGAGCCGATAATTCATTGTTCACTGTGTGTAACAAAATTCACTTAATTCTATGTCTAGTAGGAGTTGGGCCGATTACTCGCGGCTTACTCGAGGTTAGAAGGGTACATTTTCGAAGGATAGGATCAGGGGAGGAGCTTGGGGTAGGGTTTCGTTGTCTCATCAGAGCGTTGTCGCCAGTATGAACGGTAGTGCTGTTCTAGCTTCGTCTGGAGTTCGACCGGCTAGGCAAAATTATGTTAAAAAATTTCTGATGTATACACCATGTTACCAACCGGTGGAAACTCACGATTTTAAATTGGCTCACTACTTAGCTAGCCTATTGGTCCCAAGTAAATCGCTTAACGTACCCCATTCTAGTACTACAGTATGCTTATTTTGATTTGCTATGAAAGTTTGACAGATAAAATGAGGGGTTCGTGGATTTTCCTATGTTTCAAGGGGTGCATCGATTAGCTTGGGACCGAAGAGAGTACCAGAGCTGAGCCAAAAAGTTGAGCACGTATCTTCGGGACCTTCTAGTCTTAGAGTTACCTCTATGATGTTACGTTGCTTAAATACAACTAAATCATAATGTTTTCTAATGTTTGACATCAGGCATAAATTTCTATTCGGGAGAGGCTCCTAAAATCTCATGCTGGTAGATGCTGACGCCCTTTTTACATTATGCTGACTATTTATAAGTACAGCTTTAGTTCACTAGCATCAGCACACCAGCACAGATGTAAACACCCAAATAGCGGTGGATGAACAGAACTACTCACTTCATGTAGGGTAGAACAGCCCGAAATGCACCCCGGGCCAAACGCAAGATTTGATTTTTCATATCTATACCACTCTTAATTTTGCCGAAATGCTAGTTCAAGTACTAAACTAGCACTGTGACTTGTCAAATTTATCTCCCTCTGAGTATTTCTAGAAATGATCTAGAAATCAAAATGAGTTTTCATTATGATAGGAACTGCAAACTTTACTACCGATTAGAAATACTCAGAGTGAGAGATGGGCGGAGAGATTTTTTTGAGCCAAATGAACTGTCGAAATCTGAGCCAATCTACCATTCCAATTAGAATTTTTCCGAGGATTTCTTATTTTTACTAGAATAAATTTGAGAGCATTGAAATCGAACCGAAATTTAATCACCTTTATGTTTCGTGTGCTTCTCAAATTCAACTAGTTTTTGGAATCAAAAGCCATATTCTAACTCGATTGATTAATTGATCTTAGTTGGTTAATTAATGGCACCAAGAAATGTGCAAAATATTGCGATGCATTCAATTATTACTTTGCACGTAAATCGAATCAAAAATAAAAGTAAATTGAAATGCTAGCTTCTAGCAAGAGTTGCAAGATAATTTAGGAACAAATCCCTGCTGCCGAATTGTATTTTGTTTTATCCGCCTATCTCTCCCTCTGAGTATTTCTATTACCGATTTGCTTTCATTTTGTTAACCGGCTTTGCTCGGGTGGACCCGGATAAAAATAAACCATTGCTTTTTTTGTATAACCCATTCGTATACTGTAGACTCTATAAGATACAATACGATATATTGTATTTGAATGACAAGACAAAATTTTTCCGTACTGTAACTACCATACATAAACAACATGTTCTCATGTAACAACACAATGAATTGTTTTTCTTATGTTTCAACCACAGACAAACAGACATAACACATTGAATATTTCTCACTGTAAAACATCGTCGCTAAAACATTACCGCCATCTGTTGAATACACTGTGGTGGGTAGTACGCTGAACAGATGGCGGTAGTGTGTAAACGTCAAACGCAAACGGTGCTACCAACTACGATACTTTTAAATGGACCGTTAAATGCTTGTTCGATGAACAACTTGCGAGAGTTATGTCTGTTTGTCTGTGTTTCAACCTTTCAGCAAACGGAACTATAGATTAACAACCAATTTTGTCATTCATTTGCTTTCCATGTCTTTCTATCGGGAACCTTACGAAGAGACCTTGAGCATTCTTGAAAAGAGCGTGTGGATGTCATAATGTTATCTACTTTCCCAATGTAGCGTTTTATACAATATTCATTACTACTGAATTCGAACCACAGTCCACATAATTGTTTGCAAACCCCAAGAAAAACTGCATGCATGTAGAGGTGCTTCAAGTTTATTTTATGTTTTTAAGGTAATTTACGGCTTATAATATTTGTATCTCGAGACTGAAAGAACGAAAACTGCTGTAACAACTTTCGTAGCAAAGTTTAATGTGTTATCTATCAACTTTGTTTGACTTAGTTTCATGCTCGAAGATATCTCAAAAATTGAAGAATTTCAAAGTATTTGTTTTACAAATTTTCCACCCATATGATATAAACATTGCTTTTCAATGAAGACCGATGACTGTTTCATTGATATATGATTTTTTCATAAATATGAATCCTCAGTAGACGTGTTTTCTTATCAAAGGCAAGTATCACTCGAGCCATAACAGCAATTTATAAAATAACGAACATTTTGAATGGCTCGAGTGACACTTGCCTTTGATAAAAAAAACACGTCTACTGAGGATTCATATTTATGAAAAAATCATATATCAATGAAACAGTCATCGGTCGTCATTGAAAAGCAATGCAAAACAATGAGAACATCGAATTAAATCGGAAATCTGAAAAAGGCAGCAAGATACGGCACGCAATGTTATTCAAGATGTCGATCAGGATGCCAATGCTACAGCAAGAGATTTAGCCAACTGATTTGAAGTTACCTTGGCTAGAGATATGTAGAAATCGTATTTCGGAAACCACATATGTACGAATTGCTTTACATCAATTTTGCAGATTTTTTGTGACGATGCTTTGTTTTACTAACATCAACTAAATGTTTTAAATTTTTTATTGAATTGTTCCTAAACATATGTTCCAACATATGTTTTATGTTCTTGATTTATTTTTCTTTTTAATTTTTTAAGCATCACCTTTTAACGATATAACATAAAACAATATTCATCGCAGAACAGATTTTGTTATTCTATTAAAATTAAACAGCCTAAATGTAATAAGCAACATATTGTACCGACGTTGTATTGTAGAACAATACAAAATTGAATAATAAAACTATTATCATACAATTCAATCAATTGTTGAATCTGTGATTTAGTCACTATTCATAACAGTATGATCAATATTAATTTTATCGTTTTGTTATCGTAAATTAACAATTAAAGCTTAAGTAACTTTGATGTTATGTTCAGTCCTAACAACTATATATTTACTATTCATCTTATTGTTTTGGAGAAAAAATACTATGAGATTAAATAAATTTTTGAACTGTTACGATACTTAACAACCCGTACATTCCATTGTAAAAGCTCCGTTTACCATACATTCAAAAGTTTCACACAATACATTTCAACATATTTTTATTGTTATAATTACAATAGCTTTTATTGTAATCATACTGTTCCAAATAGTACCGTTACAATAAATTGTATTGTTTTTCTATAATATTTTTTATTCGGGGAGCACCTAGGTTAAAACATGAATGTAAATTGATTTGAATTTGGAACAAGGCAAGAGTTAAAAAAAAAGAAGTATCGATGATGTTATCCGAGACTCCGTTGCGTTTCAGGGCACTCCCCAATAATGTGTTTCAGTCTTTCGAAAGGTTTTTCGTACTCGCTCAATGGAACGTTTCGGCATAAATCATCTGGTGGGTAGAACTGTTAAAGCAAATTGTAGCTTTAGATTTTTACGTGTTATTATCCAATGTATTACTTTTAGCAAAATACTATTGTCCCCGGATTAGGGCTGTCCCAATCTTAGTTTCCGTTTCTTTCCATCTCCATTTTTCCAATCATCGAACCAATTGTACAAGTATTTCGCCTTCTAATATTTCTTGGTCTAACAAATTTCGGCGAATCGCGTTAACTCTCCACTAGCACTCTAAACCACCGTCCTGAAATCTAATTTTCCACAATCGAGAATCAACGCAGCTCTACTGTTCTGGGTAATAGAAAAAACTTCGATCCACAGTCACTACACTCGTTTTGATTCAGTAGCAAAGCAATACTCATCTAATCCATTGATTTTTGTTGGTTTGATTTATGCCGAAGGATCTGCGTGCTGCGGTGTGAATGCGTTTTGTTGTAATTAAGTTATTGTTAAATATGGGCGTGTAGGTATTTCTTTATTGAAAGCGTTTCTAAAGTCCTATTTTAATCGGATATTTGGTATCGCTATACAAATGCACATTAACTCCTTTTTCTGCGTTAAACAACAAAATGGTAAAACTAAATAACCAACCAAAGTAGATAGGAAGGTAGATATACTGCTGGGTTATGCGAGTCGTTGGACTAGATTGAACTCAGGGTCAGGATCAGGACAAATATTTTAGAAAATCATACTTTATGGGTAAGAGAGCACAATCCAAATCCGTTGTGTTGCAGTACGTGTCAAAGCATCTCGTTTTATGGAGTGTTTTGTTGTTGTAATGAGTCCAAACAAATTATTCTTAGTACAAGTAAGTAATGTGCGCTACTTATTAGTCTAGTTATCGTATTTCTTGCGATGCTGTTGCTTATTTGCGATTTTTAGTTAAACCTAAACCATCAGTCTAGCGCAATTTGTCACTGCCTTTTTCTAAAAAAGGGGAAACACAAAGGAACACAAGTGCTTTTTGAAAATTAGTCTTCAAAATTTGCTACAAATCATAAACGGCACATCGGTGGTGTAACACAAATAGGTAGGTAGAATGCAACAAATCAAAACAAAATGCCAACGTAATTGCCTCTTAAAGGGTGGAAATGTACACGGACAAACCGAATGCTAAAATAATTATAAATTATGGGAAATCAAGTCTATTCCAGAGCAATGCCCTGGATCCAAGAGCTAAGATCGCTGGTATCGGATTCCATCACAATTTCCTGCGGTGAGTCAGGAGTCAGGAGAATCTGCGCGGCTGTTCGACCGCTCAGGTAAGCACCATGCACCGTTGAGTAGAAGTTTGAGTGAGTGTGCTCGCCGGCAAATAGTACCGATGGCTGTGGGAACAGAAATCAGATCATGAAATGCTTCCATACACAGAACGCCGATTAGAACCTACCTTCGATTGATGCGGACTAGAATACAAAGGCTGTGCAATATTGTCGATGTCATCCTGGGAGGCACCGACCGCGATTGCCGTATAGGATCCACAACTGTAAGGCTGCTTGCTCCAGCTGGTGCACACACATCGCTTTGGCTTTGGAATGAATGGGTCTTTGAGAAACCTCCGGAGGATTTCCGTACACTTTTCGGCTACCACTTCATGGGAGATGCTCTCCATGTACTCTGCTTCTCGACCGGATATCCAACCCAACAGTAGGGTATCCGATACTTTGGAAAATGAGTAAATCTTTTTGTACCAGTTGGCTTTCAGGTACTCTTCATCATCGACATTCGGTTCAAGATCGGAATGCTCCCAAAGGAACATAATTTCGCTGATCTTCGCATTGAGGAAAGGTCGATCATACTCTAGGAAGATTTTGTCTACAGTCCCGTATAGCAGAGAATCAATCGATTCCAGTTTGTACTGCGGTAAACTAGGCGAGAACATTGTCGGACCATGCTTCTTAAGCACTCCAAGTGGGATAGTACAGATAATGTGATCTGCTTCCAAAATAGTACCGTTTTCACACTCAATCTGAACATTCGACGAGTAGTGTTTCAAGCTATTATCGTTAGTATCACCGATCGGTACTTCTGTTACCGTTTTATCCGAATCATCCGAGTCGATGTCATCTTCATCTTCCTCGAGGATTATGTCTGAATTGTTATTGCCTGAATGAACCCGGCCTTTCCGCTTCCAATGAATCGTTTTGACTGGACACGAAAGAATTATATTTTCCTTTGGGAGCGTATCACAGAGCGGTTTCAGGATGGAACTATATCCCGAAGGTAGCACAATATTCCCTCCCTGCAGTTCGGTATAGCTTCCTAGCTCTAAAAGATCAATCTCGTCCATACTGTGACACCCGGTGATGCAAGTTTCACGTTTCAACAAACATTCAAATATCAACTTCCTCAGGTGCTTTTCTTTGTAATCGTCAATGTTGTTCAAATACAGCTCTGCCTCTAGGTTAATGTGCTCTCCCACACTGTGGACATCCGGCGGCGGAAGATACTGACATAGGAAGTATTCTTCGCACCGTCGCAGGAAACAAACGTACGCTTCATATATTTCCTGCAGCACTTGAAAAGGCACCTGCTTGCCATCCTCGGTAGCCGCCACAACCTTGTGTGGTTTCGGAATATTTATGATACTGATCAAGCCATGCTGCATCGCCAGTTCAAACATCGGATTGCCCAAAACACCGTGGATCCAATTTGCACCGAGTTCCACCTGCCAAATAAAAATTATCGTTATGAATCAGTCGCCTCCTTAATTGCTCCAAATAAACACGTCCCAATACCAATCTTATCGACCGACGCAAAACCACCGTCAATTCCAAGATAATCAATACCATCTGATGCAACTACATCCCCTTACATAAGGCATCAAAATTATATTGCAAAATTTGTCTCGTCACAACACAATCCATCACCGATTCTACCTCCCCAAGCCTCACCCCCCTCGGAACAATATTTACCTTCTGCGATCCCATGTCGATTCCGACGATCCTACCGCCCACCCGAGGTCGCGCCTCCAGGATCGCGAAATCCGAGCACCCATGTTTGATCAAATGATTCGCCGAAGATAATCCAGCCATTCCAGCACCGATTATCACCACTTTGTATTTTCTTTTCTTCACTGTCGCTGCAGCAGGATCCGAAGACGACGACGACGATGCACTTGTCGCCGTGGATTTTCCATTTTCATCGCTCATGCCGAGTCGAGAGCTGTTGCTGCTGCTAGACGCTCCGCGGCCAAAAACATTCAACTTCGACGCGCACGATCGTTTTCCGGAGATTTTCCAGCCGGAGAAAACGAAGGAAAACGCAATTTGCACCCGTAGAATTTTCGATTTTTACCTTTTTTTGCACTAATCCAAGGAAAAACTTGTGTTGATAGCAGAGCAGCAAGAGCACGAATTGAAAATAGAAATTTTGATAGATTTTTGACGTTTGACTCGATCGCGGCTGATCGGGCTGATGTTGCTGATGGCGATTGGGGGAGGAAAATCGTGTTTCACTTGCTGCGTATTTGCTAAAGAGCCTAAATTTATAAAGAGGCGACATGTCGAAATTGGAAGAATGGATTATGGCCTTAACTCCATTATGTAAACAAACCTTGTAAGGCCATTTTCTCGCGAACCAAAACCTTCATTCGCAAACCTAAACCACAATCGGGTAGAGGAGAATTTCTCCTACCTGTTCATTATGTTGGTTTGCCTTTGCGGACTTCGGTTCGCGAGAAAATGGCCTTACAAGGTTTGTTTACAAAATGGAGGCCATTTAAATTGTTGATCTTGATTTTGACGTAGGACTACGTCTTTGATTTCTATATGGGGGTACACTTTGTGAAAACCGAAAATGGAACATGACATGTAACAAATTAAGAAAGATTTTGAACGTTAATAACTCAGCTGCCCCTGGTCCAATTTCAATAATTTTATCCACCAATCAATCAAAAATATGGCCACGCATCGATAACAATGTTTCCGAATGTTGATTTTCAACAAGAAAATATTGAAAAACTGGTAAGTGTCCAGCATTGTCCAAATTAACTAACAAATCCACCAATTACCTACATGCATATGTTGCTTCCCCAGCTCAGTCGTCAGAGAGTAGTAAGGCTGTGGTCCATTTGGTGAATTTTCACTTAAATTTGACACTTCGAAACTAAATTATAATGTTCGAAAATCCCTCTGTTGTTGATCGGCCAATTTTCGAGAAGGTGTGTGTCAAAATTGATTCCTTGTCTGTCAGATATAAGTCTGCTGGAATAGCAGGTTAATTTGGAAATTTTCCATCTGTCAAGTTTAAGTGAAAATTCGCCAAATGGAACACAGCCTAAGTAGACGAAACAAGTCGAAGTGGCATTCGTCTCCGATCCTTGGGCGCGTGCGAGTAGGGAAGATGGAATTGCGTAATATGTTGCATACTCATCGCCATATTCAGGACCAAACGCAAATTCTTCGAGATAACCACCATCCGTCGTCTGGCTCACCGTGGCGGTGTCTGACGTATCTCCGGTCTGATTTACGTGCTGAAGGTGTTCCTGAAAAATGAGATCCGTGATGCTGTCACCTACACTAAACACGCCAAGCGTAAGCGGCCATGTATGTCATCTACGTTTTGAAGTGACAAAGACGCACTCTGTTTGGTTTCGGAGGTTAAATCATCACCAACTTTGGCAACAAAACGGCTCTTTTCAGGGCCACCAAGCTTATTACAGTAAAGAGTAGGAATAGAATTCATCTGCCTATTTGTCCATATTCAGAACCAACGATTACACAAAATGCTCATGTAATCAAACTGAAAGCAGGGGTACAAATTATTTTGTTCAACTTTGAATCGCCACGGCCGGATATTTTCGATGGAAGAAGTAACAATCTAGCATCTATTTCGACGAAGATGGCAGGAAAGTTTTGTAAAGCCGAGTTATTTACGAAAGAGAGTGTCGATGAACAGAATCGATCAGTGTTGATAGGACCTATTGAAAAGTGACGCGAGATTTGTTTTCCGTACTGAGCTCCAATGCTACCGACGCCAGGAAGGCAGCTCCCACACCTAGACCCTACCAATCGACCCAACAACTCAACCGAGGACCAACGGCTTTACTTTTCGAAGAGATGTTATACCTCAGAACATCCCGGCGGTGCCGACTGGGATTGAACGCAAGCCTGCTGAGGTGAGAGGTAATCACGCTAACCACCGGCACCGATATCTTTCAAGGTGATATCACGGCGAATGAGAACGACCCAAATTTGAGTTTTGTTATCTCAGAAATAAGAAATAAAGTGCAGGAACTGATGACTAAATTTGCCTCATGTTTTCCCAGGTTGTTCCAGGATTTTCCAGGGAAAAATTCCCGAATTTGAGAAGTAAAGATTGGATTCACTCAGTCTATTGGTACTACTCCGGGACTGAATAAAATTTTCGTCAATTTCCTCATTTTCTGGCAGATTTTTTAGGTTTTCCACAGGAAACCATGAGACAAATTTACTCATCGCTGAGTTCCTGCCTAGGGGAAGTACAACTTGATCTGAAGTAATATTTGGTGTAAAAATTGCACAAAATGGTAATTATTATAGATTTTAGTATAAATATTAATGATATTAACTTTCAAGCGGAAAGCTACAAAGCAAAAAAAAAATTAACAGTGTAACTTTAAAGCATACATTCAATTACGTTTCACCGTTGTTGTTTATGTTTACTGCAGCTTTCTGTTTGTCATCATTTTTGCCTAGATTTTCGTTTTTGATAGCTCTGATCGTTTTCGGCTTCGGATTTTAATGATAAAAACGACACTGGACGTTCCCCCAGCAGCAAATTTCTCCAGGCGAATTGAGAGTAATACGACCACGGAACCATCACTCTGGGACTCCGTTTACAGGGACGGCGTAGTCAGTCGATTCCCGTTCCATCGGAGGACAGTACATTGATTCGCAGACGTGGAAATTAATGGCTATTTCCTGGGAACGGAAGTGCGACCGAATTTATTAGAACAAGGAGTGGATCTCGGTGGTGGTGGCCAGCAAGATCATCAAGGAATGACTTCCCTTTCGTGTGAAATCCATTTTTGATTAAACGAATGTCAAATGTACACTTAAAACCAAACATAGTCAAACACAATCAAACAACTGTCAGACTAAGTATAAGATTCGCAAATATCACACATATTAAAATATTTAATATTTCCACCATCGGTATTGATGCCGATACTTGGAGCTGTCCTTCCCCTAGGTTCCTGCACTTTTGGCGATTATGAGTGAACTAAACTCAAATTTGGGTCGTTCTCATTCGCCGTGTGCGCAAAAGGAAAAGAGCCAGTGTCGCCACTTGATAGCAAACTACTCATAATGGGAGGAGCCTTTGTAGCTTTTATACCACTTGGTTGCACATCATTCTGCTTTAACCTGAAAAGATATAAAAGAGCGCTGCTGTATGGTATTAGCTGGCTCACTCTTTGCTCGACTGTTGAGCTGTTCAGTTCGTTTTCTTTTTCGCTCGAGTTCTCGCTTCGATTCGGTTTGTGCTGTCGCGTTGCGCCGTGGAAGCGTCGCCACCTTCGCGCGTTCTGGCAAGTTTACTGCAACTTGCCAACACGAAACAAATGGTGCGTAAACGTACACGCAGAGAAATGCTTTTTAAATTCAAATGGATATATTTTTGGCTCAGGGCCTAATATATTTTTGGTATTGATTCAAATATATTATTCGGTTAACTCAAAGAAAAATATTTTTGAATCAACAAACCGGTTGTAGAGTCAATACTCTGTTTGTTGATTCTAAAAACCAGTTTGTTGATTCAAAAATATGTTTTGTTGAAAAAGTGATACAATATGTATGATTCAATAACAAAATACATTAGGCCCTGAAACAAAAATCCATTTTTCTGCGTGTACCAATGATTCAGCAGCGGGCCCTTCAAAGAAGGTGGTAATCCAGCACAGCGCGTCGCAGGATGACGCCGGAAAACGGGTACTGCAAGCCAACCAGTTTGCGGTGCTCCCCGAAGAAAAGGGCGATGGTGACGTCGTTCCCATCGCTGCAAGAGAGCGGATTCCCCCGCTTTTCACGCCGGAGAAGGATGTTGCCAAGCTGCGTGCCGAGCTGGCAAAACACAAGCTGCTGCCTCGCTTCAAGCTTTGCAGCATCGGCACCAAAATCATGTGCTCCAGCCTGGAGGAGTACAATCAAACAGGATGTTTCCTAAAGGAAAACAACGTTGACTTCTTCACGTACGATCTGCCATCGAGCAAGCCACTGAAGCTGGTATTGCGTGGATTACCGTCGTTCGAGGCGGCTGTGGTTAAATCCGAGCTGGAGCGGCTTGGGCTCAAACCTGAGGCACTGTTCCCAATAAACCGGCGTTCCAACCACAACACCAGCTTCCGTGACCAGTTGTTCCTGGTGCACTTCACGAAGGGATCCACCAGTCTAGCGGCTCTGAGATCCAAAATCCGGGACCTGTTTCAGGTCATCATCAGTTGGGAACATTACAAATCCCAACATCGTGATGTTACGCAGTGTATGAACTGCCTCTCCTACGGCCATGGCACCAAAAACTGCCATATGAAGACTATCTGCGCCAAGTGTGCTGGAACTCACTCGACTGCGTCCTGTGAGCAAGATGATGACATCGAGCCAACGTGTGTCAACTGCGGTGGTAACCACCAAGCCTCCAATCGCGGATGTCCCAAGCGAGTGGAGTTCATCAATATCCGTCGGAAGGCTACGATCAATAATCAGCCCGGTCGCCTCCGTAATCATCGTTCGCCTCCTGCACGCACGGAAGTCCAGTACCCAGCTCTCCAGCCCCGTCGACATGTTCCGAACTTAGAACCACTTCCGCTCAACAACCAACAAGTCAAGCATGTGAGTATTCCTAACAATCGAACAGTCCAGCATCGTCTCGCTGCTGCTGCTGCCCAGCCAATGCCAGGTCCCTCCACCGCCCCTGGTTTATCATACGCTGGTGTTGTCTCAGGTGAGCCTGTCGACGATTCTCCGTTCACCTCGGAGGAACTTGTGACGCTCGTGGCCGAGGTCATCATCATCTTGCGCACCTGTAAGACTCGATCTGAACAGCTTCATGCTGCCCTGTCCCTTGTCACTAAGTATGGACCGTGAAGCCATCAAGATCGTAAATTGGAACGCTTGCTCCTTGAAGAGCAAAAACATCGAGTTTGTTGAGTTTCTCAATGAACGAAACATCGACATTGCCATAATAACTGAAACCCACCTGAAGCCTGAAACAAACGTCTACCTTCCCGATTTCCGGCTCGTGAGGCTAGATCGAACCAACTCTGGAGGAGGAGGAGTGGCTATTGCAATAAGGAGAAACATCTGCTGTCGACTGATGCCCAGCTTTCAGCTGAAGATCATCGAAGCCGTAGGGGTGGAAGTTTCTACTCCTATCGGCCCCATCACCATCGTCGCGGCTTACTGCCCCAAACAAGTCAACATCAGGGACGGATCGGCAGCAGATCTGCGACGAGATATTATCAAGCTAACACGACGACGGGAAAACTTTATCATCGCTGGCGACCTGAACGCCAAACATCAAGCTTGGGGCAACAATCGGCGCAATCAAAACGGCACCATCCTGAACAACGACCTGCAGGAAGCGCAGTACAACATCTTGAGTCCGGAAACTCCCACCCGGTTGAGTCGGTCTGGTGTTCACGCTACCATCAATATCTTCATCAGCAACAACATCGCTCAACCTATCACCTATCAGGAACTCAGCTCGGACCACTACCCGGTGGTGACTGAGGTGGGATCCTCCGTAAATCGATTTGAAGCTTTCCGGCGCAACTATCATCGTGTTGACTGGGGTCAGTTCCAACATTGCGTCGACACCGCTGTAGACTACGATGTCCAACCGGAATCGTCCGAAGATGTTGACCGGTGTCTGCGCTCCATCGATCAAGCAATTTCCCGGGCCAGGGAGCTACATGTGCCAGTATCCAGACAGGTGAGTAATACTCTGAACCTTGACAGGCCTACTAAAGACCTCATTAGACTCCGCAACACGATTCGTAGGCAGTACCAGCGTACTGGGCTGCCTAACCTGAAGACCAATTGCAACCGTTTGAACAAAATCATCCAAGCCAGGATGGTGGATCTCAGAAATATCGATTTTGCAAACAAGATTCGCTCTCTCCCAGATTGTGCTAAGCCATTCTGGAAAATGGCAAAGATTTTGAAAAATAAGCCGAGGCCCATTCCTCCCCTTTCCTCTCCTAACCAAAATTCGGACCCATCTTTACTAATAACCTTATTTGAAAAGGCCAATGCTCTTGGACAACACTTTGTAAATTCACATAACCTTGGCCACGCCATGGTGAGTCCCCACGAGCCTGCAGTATCACAGGCAATGGTTAGTGTCGCTGCCACCCCCGTAGTTGTCCCTGAAGGCCCAAACGCAATGTGGACGGAAGCGGAACGGAAACGGAAAGTTTGACAGTTGTCTCAAATGACATCAAGATGCCTAACCGAAGTCGATTTGGTTCCAACAAGTTTTCAATCCGACAAGTCGGCTTCCTCAGATCGGGTTATTCCGCTGCCGTTGCCGTTCCGCTTCCGCTGTCATTGCGCTTGGGCCTTGACGAAAGTGGAATATCGGCTGATGAGGTGATAGCAGCGATTAAATCAACAAAGAACATGAAGGCCGCTGGTGTCGATGGAGTGGTCAACCTCGAGCTGAAAAACTTGAGTGTTGACTTCTTCAAGCACCTTGCAGTGGTCTTCAACAAGTGTTTAATGCTTGGCTACTTCCCTGCATGCTGGAAGTTAGCCAAAGTTATTCCAATTCACAAACCTGGCAAAGACCCTACCAGTGCCAAAAGCTATCGCCCCATCAGCCTCTTGTCCTCCATCTCGAAGCTATTCGAAAAATTGATACTCAGCCGTCTGCTGGTGTTTTCAAAAAGATAATAACATCTTTCTCAAAGAGCAATTCGCGTTTAGGAAAGGCCACTCTACCATCCACCAACTCGCACGGGTTACTAACATCATCAAGCGGAACAAGTCCGTTTCCAATACATCTGCCATGGCATTGTTGGACGTCGAGAAGGCGTTCGACAATGTCTGGCATGATGGTCTAGTGTACAAGCTGCATCGATACAACTTTCCGAACTACCTCGTGAAGATCATCAAAAACTACGATCATCAAGATCCATCTTGATAGCACTCCCATTGAATGGTCGAGTGAAGTAGTCTACCTTGGTCTCACCCTCGATAGCAAATTGCTATTCCGATCCCATGTGGACAAGACATCCACCAAGTGTAACATCTTGATCAGGTCGCTCTACCCTCTGATAAACAGGAAGTCCACCCTGTCCCTCAAAAACAAGCTTGCTGTCCACAAGCAAATCATTCTGCCGGCTATTGAGTATGGTATGCCAATCTGGGAGAGTTGTGCAAAGTGCCACCACTTAAAGCTTCAGAGGATCCAAATCAAGATCCTCAGAATGATCCTTAACAGTCCACCGCGAACTCGTAATTCTGAGATTCACCACCTGGCCGGTCTTCAAACACTCGAGGAGCGAAAGACTTCCACGCTGGAAAGGTTCAGAGTCGCCTGTCTGCGATCAAACCACCAGATCATTCGTGATTTGGCAACCTAGTTTAAGTAGTTAGGTGCTCAAGTAGGTAGGTTATCAAATTTTTAAATTCAAACCAAAACAATCCCACAAAGGGTATCCTGTAAATTAGCGCTAAACGCAATCATCACATTAGAATAACCAATTAACTAGAACAAAGATGAAGAGCCAAAGGCTAACCAATTGAAATGTTAAATCAAATGTTGAAACATAAAACCCAGAAAATAAACGTAAATTTTACTACTACTATGTAATTAGCTCATTTTCGCTTCGGATGGCGTGGTGAACAGCAATAGCAGCAGTAGGAAGGTGGTGGCTAGTCCACTCCTTCACACCTAAAAAGCAACAATTGACTGTGACTGGTCGTGGCAAAGGAGGAAAAGGTCTGGTAAAGGAGGCGCCAAGCGTCATCGCAAAATTCTTCGAGATAACCGCCATCGGTCGTCTGGCTCACCGTGGTGGTGTCAATCGTATCTCCGGTCTGATCTTCGAGGTGTGCTGAAGGTGTTCCTGGAAAATGAGGTCCATGATGCTGTCACCTACACTAAACACGCCAAGCGTAAGTGGCCATGGATGTCCGCTTCAATAAAACGGACCTTTTCAGGGCCATCAAGCTTACATCAGTAAACAGTTGGAATAGAATTTATCTGTGCTTGTTTGTCCATATTCAGAGCCACAAACCCCCTATCGACCACATAAAATGCTCTCCAGAGTTGTAATCTTGTAACCAAACTTGGAAGCAGGGGTGCAAGTGATTTTGATTGATTCTCTTAATCAACTTTCTCTATGAAAAATAAAAATACTAAAAATTTGGTACGCCTACAATTCAAAAACGGAAAGAGTTGAGTTAATAGATAATTGATCAATTAAAAGAACTGAATGCTCTTCACATTTATTCCGTCCACTAGCGGTCCTACGTCAAGCTTCCGTTCGTGCCCCTTAGCACAGACCCTTCTAATTTTTTTGATCATTTAATGATCACAAATAAAAAAATCTATGATTTCCACTATTATATAGAAGTATTAATCACTGAATTAAATAATTGATTTTCTTTGAGTGCACGATTACTTGAATAATTTTAGGAATTACTTTGGAATTACTCAATTATTCAATGATTAACCAGATTACCAGAGATAGCATTGTTAGAGAAATACGACACCATCCAAGCTCGATTAATAAAAATGAGCGGCACAGCAAAAAACAAAACTGATTCATTGAAAAATTGGAACTTGAAAGTTTTACTGTAAATACTGTCATTGATTCAAACCAAGTTCAACGGCGCGCGCTTAGCCCCTGTGTGCAGAGCTGCCAGGTGGTTTTATAAAAAATCTGTATCCACTCTATTAAAAAATCTGTATTTTCTGTATTGACGATTTTTTTCTTAATTAATCATGTTTTGTTGTTTTAAAAATACAGTGCATACAAAATAACCATAAAAAGTGCTTAACCACCTATTCGGGCTATCGTACTAACCATACGGGATATAATTGCGCCATTTGTGATATCGTCCGTACTTATTTATAAGAGTGATATGAAGCCGTTTGAAAATGTATGGAGATTTTAGTTCCTATTCATTATCTTCTTGATAAGCAGTTTTAAATGCAAAAAAGTGCACGAGTTCATTACTATTTGATATTTTTAATATAGATGAATACAATTAATTACATAATTTGTGTGGTAGTTACACCGAAAAGTCGAGAGATGTCGCCCCGCCAGTGCTGGTAAAATCATTTTTGCAGTATGGAGAATATCAGAAAATCCGCAATTTCTTACGAAATACATTTTCAATGCAAGTAAAATGTTTACGAGTACTTGTATTTGTACCATTTTAATGTGCTCGGGCACTTTTCTTGTATTTAACATACATGCTTATATTGGAAATATTCAATTAATACTGTAAATCCCCATACAATCAAAAAAGTTATTTTGTTTTTATAAATTTTGAATTTTTTTTTCTCAAGCATTTTATAAAAATCTGTATAAATCTGTATTGTAATTTAAAAATCTGTGATAAATCTGTATTCTGTATCGGGTCTGTATTAAGATTAAAAAATCTGTATAATACAGATAAATCTGTATAAATGGCGAGATAAATGGCAGCGCTGCCTGTGTGTCCTGTCAAAATATTTTCGTTCGTACAATCCGTGCAATCTCGTCATTGCTTTTGTTGAAAAGTCGGAGAAATTTTCAGCCGTGCTTGCGAAAATCGCGAAAAAGTGTGCGAATTTCAAGCAATTTCCACCGCTAAATAGCATGTAGTAACGTTTCCTATAGTGTACAAAATGGCCCACCGTTCGCGAGAAGATAGTTTTTCGTCGTCCTGCCAGCAGAGGAAACTCCGCTTCCGTGGTGATCTGGCACTGCAGTACGGCTTCGCTGGGATGGAAGGGTCTGCTCCGAACAGCGTCGCTTCCGGTGCCAATCGTGTAGAAGACATAGTCTTCCCGGATGAAGTGGATTCCCGTAGGAGCAGTTTCCGAAATGGTGAGATAAGTGGCCCGGCTGGCGATGGGAAAGGTGAGTCCCGTTTTTTTCTCTGTTTGCTTCTTCTTTTCGATGGTGCTCTTGCTGCGCGAGGCACAAGAGATGGATTCTGTTGGTTTGTTTTGATTTTGCGAGGTCTTGCGCGTGTTATGATAGGGTTGCTCAATTGTATTTTTTTTTTGTAATTTCAGAGAGTTCGAAACACAACAGCCTTTACGATTTTATCCGGATCGAGCTGACACGTGGATACGTGTTGGAACACGATGAGGAGCGCTACTCGGCACGACGGGAGAAGATCTACTCCTTTATGAAGATTCCTCGGGAGCTGGAAAGTTTTATGGCATATGGAGTGCTGCAATGCGCCGATTCGTTTCTGTACATGTATACGTTTCTTCCGTTAAGATTTATTCTTGCCCTGTGGGCTTTGGTGACGAGGCCAGTAGCCAAGTGTTTGGGTTTTAGACGGCCAGGCCAACGGTTGTTGGCTCCAGCGGAGATCTGTGACCTACTGAAAGGTTTGATTTGGATCATTTGTAGCTGGGCTATGTTCTACGTGGATACGAATATGCTTTATCACTTGATCAAGAGTCAGTCGATCATCAAGTTGTACATTTTCTACAACATGTTGGAGGTAGGAGATCGGTTGCTGTCGGCGTTCGGACAGGATACGATGGATGCTTTGTTTTGGACGGCTACTGAGCCTAAGGACAGCAAGAAGCAGCACCTGGGAACGATTCCGCACTTTTTGTTTGCTCTTATCTATGTAACAATCCACAGTGCCTTGGTGATGTTCCAGGCCACGTCGCTGAATGTGGCAATCAATTCAAACAACAAGGGACTGTTGACAATTATGATGTCGAATAACTTCGTGGAGCTGAAGGGGAGCGTTTTCAAGAAATTTGACAAAAATAATCTCTTTCAGCTGAGTTGTAGTGATGTTCGAGAGCGGTTTCATTTGACGATTCTGATGTTGATTGTATTGATTCAAACGATGAAGGAGTTCAGCTGGAAGTCGGAGCAATTCTTTGTGATGATTCCGGACTGTATGTACGTCATGTTGACGGAACTATTCGTTGATTGGATAAAGCACGCGTTTATCACGCGTTTTAACGAAATCCCAGTGGACGTTTATCGGGAATATACGACAAGTTTAGCTTACGACATGACGCAAACTCGCCAGAAGCATGCCTTTTCCGATCATTCGGATTTAGTAGCAAGACGAATGGGCTTCATCCCTTTTCCACTGGGTGTGATTCTTGTGAAAGCTCTTTACCACGCTCTCTCCTTTGACAATGCAGCATCCATCGCACTGTTCATCATTGCCTACATGGTTCTCCTGTCGTGCCGGGTTTTAAATACAGTGTGCACTCTCGGAAAAGCATGTGACCTGATGCAAAAGCACCAGGATGAGAAAAATCAAAGTTCTCAGCATAGCAACGGTCCTGCAACGTCGACACCAGTACAGCAAGCCCGCAGTGCCAGCAAATTAACCACCGACATCGCAACGTCTCCAATTCACCACCCGAATAGCATTCTCCAGCGGTCCCAAACGATGGAATCAGTTCCGCACATTATTCCGCAAATCAATGTTTCCGAACAGCAAGCGGACAGTGTTATTCGGGAAACTTCCTCTCTGGGAGCTACGGCGCTTTTCTCCAACAGTGACGTCGATCTGGATGACGTCAAACTCAATGATAAAGTGCTCAACCAGACTCCTGAGCCGGAGGACCAATCGCGCAAGGAGGATGATAATCTTGCCCGGAGCGTACCGGATTTGCAACAGGAGTCGACTGCGGCCGGTTGCAGTCCATCGGGAGACGGTTCTTCGGGAGAAGGCGATAGTTTTTCGTCGTTCCAGGGGATGCACCACCGGACGCACAAACGATCCGAGTCGGAACCCTCGATTCAGTTGGATCCCGAACGGGTAGGAACCTGAGAGCGGTAGAATTACCGCTACTATCGAGAGCGATGTTTACGTGTGTTAAATTTAATAGTCACAATCGTTTGATGGCACCAAAGGCTGACTTAGAAGAAGAGCTTTACATTATTTTGCTGGAAATTAAATAGGATACAGGAAGTAATATTGCGCTAGCGGGGATTATGCCCTGTCTTGTGGAATAGATATTTTCATTCGATGCGATTAGGGTAAGCAGTGGTTTTTATCTTGTTTTTGTTAGCTTTGTACTTGTACATAATATATTCGAAATATTCCCACGAGGAATGTCTGTATAGAGAGGGAAAATGTTTGGTTATTGAGAAAGCCATGGTAGTTTATGGAAGTGGCAACATTTACAATTATTAATGTTGCCTCTAAACATGCAACCTTGAAAGGTAGGTATTCAGCAGTAGTTTCATTTCACAGTCCTGTTCGAGAGGATCTACGAAAAACGTGATCGCGTAACGTGGACCCCCGGTAATTTGACCGATTTTAATCTGATCACTTTTTAGATTGAACCCCGCTAGTCAGCACGATTGGATGAACACGTATATATTCAAGGCCAACCAGAAGGACCCAGCGACTGATTTCAATTGACTCAGAGCATTTTCTTTTCATACGAAATTTAGAGCCTGTTTTAGAGAATGACCATCTTGGTGGGATTTAAATTGGTTTGTTTTAAATTGGAAAAAGGAGACTACTCATAACTACTATTTACAGCTTTTAAAATCTAATTTAGGAACCTTCGCCTCTAGCTGAATATCGGAAATTCTTGTGTCAAAAGTAGTGCTGTGAATTTTCATATCATTCGATTGAAGATGAACGAATACAACCATTCAATCAATTCTGTGTAAACAAATTCTCACATGACCATAATTTGAAGAGACCCTTTCTCATTCGAAGCTCATTTTCTCTGTCAATTGAGTCACTTACTATCATTTCGACAGTGAGCATGCATAAGGGCGAATACGCGACGATCGATTCTCTTCATCGATTTTCTCTTTGCATTGCTACAGCTAAGTGAAACAATTTTCTAGAATTTGTTCAATGCAGAGTAGTAACAGGTTGTATTGGCTATCAAAAGCAACAGCAAACGCACCGAGAAACGTTAAATCTAGCGAGAACGCGCTTCTGCATTGGGTGGTGGCCAATCGATACCAGAATGTGCAAGTTGAGGATCAAAGGCCGTTTCTTCAATGTCAGCATAATCAACGTGCACAGCCCTCACTTAGCAAGTGACGATGACGATAAAGACGCTGGAACTTGAATACGACAGCTGCCTAAGCCATGACGTTAAAATCGTCATCGGAGATCTTAACGCTCAGGTCGGCCAGAAGTAGGAATTCAGACCGGTTACAGGAAAGTTCAGTGCTCACCAGCTAACGAACGCCAACGGCCTTACACTCATCGATTTCGCCGCCTCTAAGAATATGGCCATACGTAGTACCTACTTCCAGCATAGCCTCCCATATCGGTACACCTGGAGATCCCCGCAGCAGACAGAATCGTAAATCGACCACGTTTTGATCGACGGAAGGCACTTCTCGGACAATACCGACGTCAGGACCTATCGCGGCGCAAATATCGATTCGGACCACTACCTTCTAATGGTCAAGGTGCGCCAAAAACTTTCCGTTGCCAACAACATTCGGTACCGGCGCCCGCCACGGTACAATCTGGAGCGACTGAAGCTGCCCGAAGTCGCTACTGAGTACGTGCAATGCCTCGACGCAGCGTTGCCGGATGAGGGAGAGCTCACCGAAGCCCTTCTTGAGGACTGCAGGAGCAACTCACGCCATTAACAGCGCTACTGAAGGAGCCGTTGGGTTCGTGGAGCGGAAGCGACGGAACGATTGGTTCGACGAAGAGTGTCAGACGGTTTTGGACGAGAAGAACGCAGCGCGGGGGGCGATGCTGCAGCAAGGAACCCGTCATAATGTGGAGCGATATAAACAGAAGCGAAGACAGCAAACCCATCTCTTCCGCGATAAGAACCGCCGCCTGGAAGAGCTGGAGTGCGAAGAAATGGAGCAGCTGTATCGTTCTCAAGAAACACGCAAGTTCTACATGAAACTCAACGCATCCCGCCAAAGCTTTGTGCCGCGAGCCGAAATGTGTTGGGATAAGGAAGGGGGTATCTTAACGGACGAACGTGAGGTGATTGAAAGGTGGAAGCAGCACTACGATGAACATCTGAACGGCGCAGAGGCGGAGGACCAGCTCCCAAGATCGGTGAAGTTAAGGATGCTATCCGACAACTTAAGAACAACAAAGCAGCTGGGAAAGATGGTATCGGGGCGGAACTTATCAAAATGAGCCTGGATAAGTTGGCCACTTGTCTGCACCGACTGATAGTCAGGATCTGGGATACAGAACAGCTACCGAAGGAGTGGAAAGAGGGAGTAATATCAACAATCAATACGAAACTAACGATTTTAAATTGGCTCACTACTTGACTAGCCTATTGGTCCCAAGCAAATCGATTAACGTACCCCATTCTAGTCAAAATTCTAGTACTACACAATGTTTGTTTTGATTCGCTATGAAAGTTTGACAGATAAAATGAGGGGTTATTGGTTTTTCCTATGTTTCGAGGGGTGAATCGATTAGCTTGGGACCGAAGATAGTACCAGAGCTGAGCCAAAAAGTTGAGCACGTTTCTTCGGGACCTTCTTGTCTTAGAGTTACCTCTATGGTAATATCATAGAGATAACTCTAAGATTAGAAGGTCCCGAAGAAACGTGCTCAACTTTTTGGCTCAGCTCTGGTACTCTCTTCGGTCCCAAGCTAATCGATTCACCCCTCGAAACATAGGAAAATCCACTAACCCCTCATTTTATCTGTCAAACTTTCATAGCGAATCAAAACAAACATTGTGTAGTACTAGAATTTCGACTAGAATGGGGTACGTTAATCGTTTGCTTGGGACCAATAGGCTAGTCAAGTAGTGAGCCAATTTAAAATCGTTAGTTTCGTATTGATTGTTGGTAATATGCCCGATATATAATAAAGGCGACAAACTAGAATGTGAGAACTATCGAGCGATCACTATTCTTAACGTGGCCTACAAAGTGCTTTCCCAGATCATCTTTCGCCGTTTATCGCCGCTAGCAAGCAGATTTGTGGGAAGTTATCAAGCCGGTTTTGTGGACGGGCGATCGACAACGGACCAAATCTTTACGTTGCGGCAGATCCTCCAAAAGTGTCGTGAATATCAAGTCCCTACCATAGGTGGTGCGTAGGGACTTGATATTCCCGACATCGATTTCAAGGCCGCTTATTAGACTGATGCAAAATTTGAAATTTTCGCTCCACAGTGCTCAAACGGCTTCAAATCATGTCCTGATTAGCCTCCCAAAATTTAAACTAATTTGGTAAGAAACTGACTTGGCACAAATTATTCGAAGTTTATATGGAAATTACTATGGGAAAACCAAACTTTTTGTTCATTGTCTACCACCCAATTTCCATATAGCTTTTTCGAAAAGTTCTATAACTATTCTTACGGGAATTTTTCTAAGCTTTGCAGAATGTCGTTTTTCAGCCAAATATCAAATTAAATAGTTATTAATTGTTTAAGAGATTGATAATTTTATGGTATGATCAAGCAGCTGTTCTGTTAGAAACACTGTATTCTGCAGTGTGACATATTAGCCATGATATTTGTGCTCTATTATTCTCACCAGAAACACCAATGTTGCCTGCTGAACAGTTGATTGAGCATAATCATAAGACATCAGTGACTTGAATCATTAATAACTTTTGTTCCGTGCATTTGATTGAAAAGTGGTTTTCAACAAAGTTGTAGCTGAGAAAATTTTCGACAATTACTGCTATTATTTTTAAAAGCACAATGATGTGGTGAATTGTTAGATATATATGAACAAAAACATTAGTTTTCCCATAGTAATTCTCATATAAACTTGAAATGGTTTGTGCCAAGTCAGTTTCTTACTAGAGTAGTTCAAATTTTGGGAGGCTAATCAGGACCCAATTTGGAACCGTTTGAGCACTGTGGAGAGAAAATTTCAAATTTTGCATCAGTCTACCGCTTATGATACTATTGACCGTGAAGAGCTATGGAAGATTATGGATGAGAACGGTTTTCCCGGGAAGCTGACCAGACTGATCAGGGCTACGATGGATGGTGTACAGTGCTGCGTGAAGATATCGGGTGCGTTATTGGACTCGTTTGCAGCTCGCAACGGACTTGACAAGGCGATGGTCTTTCCTGCCTTCTGTTCAACATTGCGCTAAAAGGTGTTATGAAACGTGCGGGCTTTAACATGCGGGGCACGATCTTCAATAAGTCCAGCCAGTTCATCTGCTTCGCTGACGACGTGGACATTGTCGGAAGAACGTTTCAGGCCGTGGCGGAGCAGTACACCAGGTTTAAAAGTGAAGCAGAGAAAGTTGGATTAAAGGTGAATACGTCGAAGACAAAGTATCTGTTAGCTGGAGGAACCGAGCGGGATAGGGCTCGCATAAGCGGAAGCGTGACAATCGACGGAGACGAGTTCGAGGTGGTTGATGAATTTGTATACCTCGGATCATTGGTGACGTCGGATAACAACTGCAGCAGAGAAATCCATCTGCGTATTATTGCCGGAAGTCGTGCTTACTACGGATTCCACAAGACCCTGAGGTCGGGTAAACTTCACCTCCGGGGCGGGACACATTTTAAGAATGCCGGACAACAATCCCGCAAAAATGGTGTTTGCCTCGAATCCGGCCGGTACAAGACGAAGAGGAGCACAGCGAGCAAGGTGGTTAGACCAAGTGGAGCAGGATCTTGGAAGTGTGGGACGGCCAAGAAATTGGAGACAAGCAGCCACGGACCGAGTGAACTGGCGTAACATTGTGATGCAGGTGCAATACTGAGGGATGTCGGACCAGGATAAGTAAGTAACGTCTACCGAACGTTAGTGTTAGTGTCTACCGAACGTTAGCAAATGATGACACAAGGGTTGAGTAGTCTGCCGAAGTAACCTATCTCGGGATGTTGTTCGATGAAAAGCTCTTCTTCCGCTCGCATGTAGAGAAAACCGTAGTCAAGTGTTTTGCCTTGGTTAGGTGTCTGTATCCGCTGATTTGCCATAGATCCCGCCTCTCAAGGGTGAACAAACTGGCCGTCTACAAACAAGTCATAGCACCTGCAATCTTCTACGCAGCTCCGGTGTGGGAATCATGTGCACAGACTCATAAGAACAAAATCCAGGTCGCTCAGAATAGAGTGCTGAGGATGGTTCTTCATCGTCCCTTTGACCAGTGCTGTAAATTCTCAAAATCATTTGA